TAATGTCACAGATACCATATACTTTGAATGTCTCAGAGAAAATGCTGGGAGGACACGCCTACTGCCTGCCCATTTCCTTGCTGCCCTACCCTCAAGGGCACAGAAGCCACAAACTTGTGACTGCTTCATAGCCAGCCTCAGTTCCATCTCGGCTGGCCTGCATGGGTTTGTGACATCACAAGCAGGCATGGGCCACCTGCTTCCCGTCCTGGTTAATACCAATGCTGACAATCAGATGTTTAATGGACGTGATGCTGGGTGGGGTTTTGCAAATTTCTCCACCCTGCTGAGTTTGGCAAGTACCGCCTCTCATTCTGTCTGGCCTGGAAACTGAAACCTCAGCTTTTGCTCAGAGTAAAATGGCTCTCCTTTTTTTATCCCTGTTCTTTTCCCTTCCCACTTTGCCTCGAGTGGGGAAGATAATGGTTTGTTAGGTAATTTTGTTAGGTAATTTTAGATTGCAAAGGGCCAGCCCATTCATATGCAAAAGCCTCTACACACAGCTTGGGTGGGGTGGGGTCTCAGGGAATCAACAGGGCGGAGCAAACAGCTATGGCTGATCCTCAGTCCTGCCCTAAGAGGTCCCAGGTCTCAGTGTCCCGTGGTAATCGCTGCAAGCACGTCTGAGAGAATGCTGCCCTCAAGTTCCAACTGATGCCAGACAGTCCAGTTTCTCCCCGTATGAGTCTGGGTCCCCAGAGACTAGCCCGAAACTGGAGTTCAGAGTGGGAGTGTGTGTCTCCCTCCCGACTGAAAAAGACAACCCTGTCCTCAGTTGCCAGCCCTTTCCACGTGTGCCTCCGTACCTCTATACTTTACTTCTGTACCTCCTCTGAGTCTCAGTGTGCTTTTCTCTTTCCTTCTAGTTGTAGAATTTCCATTCAGCCAGCCTTCCTGTGGTTCTGGATGATGTCCGTTTTGTCTTTGAGTTGTATTTTTGAAGTGGTTGTGCGAGGCAGCAATTTCAGGTGTTTACCTATGCCACCATCTTGGTTCTCTGGTTTGTTAGGCTTGGAATTAGCTGGCCTTTGTTTTAACTTCCTTGGGTTGCAACCTTTACAAATTTTGCACATTCAAATTAATATTAGAATCTTAAAATTTTAACACAGCACAGCAAAATCATAAATCAGAGAAGTGCAAATTAAAGTTCCTAAAAATTAGAAAACTTACAGACAGATAGAAATCTCACTAGCTAAGAGTTTCTGGCGGGCTAACACCTTGACAGGAAGAGCAAAGAGTCCCCAAGAATAAGGATTCTTGGCAGCTGCTAGGATGTCCTGCAATCTCTGTCACGTGTTCAGCCTCGCCACACACACTGGGCTTCCCCCCAAATGAGATTTGCCCCATCTTTAAACAAATCAAACAACAAAGAGACATAAAACATCAACAAACACTCTCATGTTTCCCATCCTCAGCCATAAGCTGGGGCCCCTGATTTCACGGAGAGACATCTGTATTGCAGGCAGCGGTCTGGGCCCTTCTTAAAATTCTTTAGCATACATTCCAAGACAGTAGGTTTACAGGAGTTACTTCCCATGTTTGCAGTTAAACTGTGTAATCCCCTCCCAGTTAACAGAGACACAGGACAACACAAGATAGCTTTTGCTTTACGCAGGCTCTCACACTCACATTCACACACCAGTCAGTTCAAGTTTTGACTTCCACCCCGGAAAGTCCTGAACTTAGGCAAATGATTTGCCTAAGTAGTGATTAGCTACTTCTTCTGCCCCTAAAGGCAGGCCTGAACTCAGACTTCTCCACTGGGGGAAAACTCACCAGTCAGATGTCTGGTTCCAGAAAGGGTTTTCCTATCCTCCTTGGAGTTCACTGGAATGCAAGCAGGGTCCCCGATTGTCCAGGCCTGATGAGGAATGGGACCCAGTAAATCACAGGAGGCCCGCTTCCCCATCATCAGGGGCTCAGTCAAGTGTGCCCACCTGCCTTCTCTCGCACAGTGGTGCCTCAAGGGGGCAACTTCAGCTGCGTGTTCTCAGTCAGGGAAACCATTTTTATGTTACAGAATTTACCAGGTGGCTGAAGAATACACAGGAATACCCGTAGAAACAGGAAAAACCCATTTATTTCCAGATGTACTAGTACAGTGACTCAAGGGGTCAGTTCTCCAAATCCTGAGTAAACCAATATGGAGGAAACTTTCTCTTTATACCCTTTGGTTTCTTTGTCCCCCAAATATGGATCATACTTTCGGAACTTAAGCAGGTTTCACAAAAAGCCCTGTGTGTTGGGATGGGGGCTGTGAGACCACACCTAAAGGCCTGGCCTGGTGCTAGCGCTGATAACCCCCTCCGGGGGTTGTGTATTGTTCATGGTTTATGGCCTCTGTAAAATGGGAGTATTTAGGTAAACAGGTCTTTCAAGACCAGATAATTAAGGAAGGGGCAGTGACTAGACTATAAGCTAACAGGAATGTGCATTAGGGATACAGAGTCAGGGTGCTGGCAGCCCCCCCTCCCACCCTCCATATCTTATTTTCCTCATCATTAGGAAGGACTATGTGTTTTTTGGAGTTCATGGACTTTTTCTGCCTGTTAATTTTATTGAAAGTGGAATTTGCTGTTTTGGTCCCCATTTGTAACTTTGAATTGTTTCCAAATGGTGAAAGAGGTAAGATTCATATCTAAGCTATTGTACTGATCATATTAACACGAGTTTTCTCTCCACTTGGAATAGTCAGAGAACCATGAAAGACTGGAGAGGAATAAATTATAACTCTAAGTGCTGCAGAGGGGATTGAAATTGTATGCATGAAAACAAGATCCTTAAAGAAACAGAAGGTGTGGGATCCATAGCCATGTGCAAAGAACAGAGACATGATTTTATTTTTAAATATGTTTAAAGCTATGTAACAGACTGTTGCCAGTGGAAATCAGGTTCTTCCATGGGATCTTAAGGAAAGCATTCCAATTCCAAGGATACCATGCACAGGAGATTGTGGTGTGGCAAGATTTATTCAGGAAGGCTGCCCTGGGTTTTCAATGTCCCATCTCCCTCTGTACCTTCATGGAAAAAGTCCAATCTTGTCTTCATAAAGACCAGTGTCCAGAGTTTGTTTCATATTAAAGCTTAGTCCTTTGAAGCTTATTCAGTCTGCCTCAGGCTCCGATGGGCTGCTAGATCCACATGGAAGTGTGTTGTTTGTTTTGGGGGGGGGGGGGGTCAGAGAGAGAGAGAAAGAGAGAGAGAGAGAGACTCTTTGTTCCCCAGAAATTTTAAAGGACCAGGCGCTTTAAAAAAAATAACCAATCACCTTCCCAAGATTTCCCCGGCTTCTGATGGGTCCACCTCTTAGCCAATGATCCCTTTCCCAGGTTAGACTGACAGGTGTCTATGGTCAAGTACCTCCCCACTGTGCCATTTTGACTGCTATTGCACTGATCCTTATCTCCCCCTGCTCTCTCACCCCCCCTAAGTCCCCCCCCCACACCCTCCCACCCCCAATCTTCAGTACCAGAGCAGGGCAGGGAAGGGTGTTAATCCTTGTCGGGGCAATTCTGTGATTCCCTGTAGTATGTGTGAAGCTAGTGAAGCTATAGCTTCCTGATGAAGCAAACAGGCTAAATGTCCACTTCAGCTCTCCAGCCCATTAAGCTGAACAATGCCCGATTCTCTTTGCTTTCTTCCTTAATTAATATGTAGGCTAACAAGACCAATTTTGTTTTCTTTGTGCTTCTCCAATAGTCAAATAAAATTGATGGTACAAGAACATGCATCCCTGAGACAGCATAAAACCTGGGTCCCGGGTTTCAAGGACACTGGATAAGAAAAAAAAAAAATCACAGAGCTGGCGCCACCCTGCCACCCCTGGTTGGGATCCCAGAGACTCCAGATAGCCAGAAAACAAACAAACAAACAAACAAACAAACAAATAAACAAAACACCAGGTAAGTCCACCACAAAAATATAATCAGCCCTCCACTCCCTATGAAAAATGTCTTATCTCTTCTACTTGCTTTCTGAACACCCCCCACCCCCCACCCCAAACCGTTGAATAGCAGCGCAGGCTCAGAGATCAGGAGCCCTCCCACCTCCCTCGTCAATAAAAGCCTTTCCCTCAAGCCCTTTGGGGAGCAGACCCATCCCTCTTTTCTGTCTGGGTGCAGGCTACCTTGTGCACAAGTTCAAGTCTTTGCCTGAACTTTTTCTTTTTTTCTGGCGAACTCCCTTGATTTCTAACGTGGAGGATCACAAGAACCCAGGTCACAGGTAACACCCCTAGTATCATTGTATTCCAGGTGAAGAAAGTGAGGTAACTCTTCCAATTTTACCTATGGCCTTACACACGCTATGGCCATCTTCAGAGTCACCACTACCGTCCCCAACACACACATTTACGCTCTTGACAGCCCGCCCCCTTCAGCCCCATTCTGAGCTCTGGGATTACATTCCCTGGTGTGACTTGGATCTGAGTCTTTCAGGTTTCCAATCCCTGAGCAGTGAAGGTTCCCCACCTGATGAAGGCCAAATGGCTATTTAGTTAGACCCTAGTATTAGGAGAGTGTGTTTGCAAGTCCTAGAAGAGGGACAGCCTCACTCGTCCCCGTGGGAAAGCTCAATGCAGAAAGTCATCTGTGACAATCTTCTACTTGGGCGGGAGCCTCACCCTTTCTGGTTCAAGACTACGTTTCCCAGAAGTACTTGCGGCTCTAATCAAATTCCAGCGAGAACTGGGCTACTTTTTCTATTTCTCAAGGAACATATGACTCCCTGCGATTGGCCGGGCGTATGGAAGAAACTGGTCTCCAGGGTATGAGATCTACCTGGTGTGGGAGCGCATTCTGAGCCTGCGTCTAGATCTCATGGCAGAGCTGTCGGCGTAGCCTAGAGTATGCGATAGCGGGGAAACCCGAGAGACGGGCGCCATCTTGACCAAACGGATCCAGGTCGGGACTACGTTTCCCAGAGGGCCCCGCGGGAACAGGTCCACCTCTACACTAGCCCGTGGAACCCTGGGCCTCCCAGGAAGGTGGAGTGCCAGGTGAGCGGCCTTGGTCTTGCGAGCTTGACCAGGTTTGTCAGGTGCGTCCCTGATGGAGTCTCGGGCCTGTGTGAGTTCGTCGGGCTGGGGAGAAGTGTGAGATTCCATCCGTACGATTGTGACCTTATGTGACTGTACGGCGTTGTGCGTGTGGGTGTGATTGTATGCCTCATGGTGGGTGTGTCATTATGACTGATTATGCGCGGAATTCTGTGTGCAGGTGTCACTGTGGATATCCTCGTTGTAGGTGTGTGATTGTGACAGTATGCGGCACTGTGTGTGTAGGTGTGATTGTTTACCCTTGGTCGACTGTGATTGTGTGTGTGTTCGTATAACTTTTTGTTTTGTTTTAGATATATTTTTATTGATTTCAGGGAGGCAGGGAGAGGGAAAGAGAGATAGAAACATAAGTGATGAGAGAGAATCATTGATCGCTGCCTCCTGCACGCCGCACACTGGGACCGAGCCCACAACCCGGGCATGAGCCCTGATGGGAATCTAATTGTGACCTCCTGGTTCATAGGTCGAGGGCTCAACCACTGAGCCATGACGGCTGGCTGGGATATTCTATAAGGGGTGTGTGTGTGTGTGTGTGTGTGGCGGCGGAGTGTAAAGAATCTGTGAGTATGTGGCTATGACTGTTATCTGAGGGCTGAGTGTTTGTGATTGAGGTTGTATAAATGTTAGCAGCAGTAAGTGTACTGGATGCCTGTGACTGAGGATGTGTGAGTGTGATCATGTAACTGTTTGTGGCATTCTTTGTGCAGTTGGAGGGTGCCTGTAATTGTGCCAGGGTGGACAGTGTGTTGATGTGTGAGGTTAGGACAAATTTTGGTGTTGGACAACAGACTTTCCCCCTTTTCATACCTGAAATGCTAAAGATATCCCAGATTCCTCTGGTCTCTTCCATGGGTGGTTGGTGTGGGTCCAAAGCTACCTCTGATCTGATGAGCCTGGGCCACAAGGAAAACCTGGCATCTCTGATTTCTTTCTCTTTCCTCAGCTCTTCTTCTCAAGAGGTCCTCAGAAGAAGGAGGAATGGCTGTGGACCAAGCCAAATGCAAGGTGCTCTGGTGGCTTCCTTTATGCTCTCTTTCTCCTGGATTGTATTGTTTAACATCAATTCATTAAATATCCTCTTCCTACAACTTTTCATTCAAGAAAATAATGGGAAGCCCTGGGATGGGCACACAGATCCCAGTATACATACATCTTCATTTCCTTCTTTGTGGTGTTCATATATTAATTTAGAAAATAACTCAGTTACTCCTGTGTGCTAAGTTTTCCCTTTTTAAATACACACACAAAACATGCCATGGTTATTTTAAAGAATTTGGAAAATAGGAAGTTACAAAGATTATAGCCAGTCAATGTTTTGATTTATTTCCTTCTAATACATTTCCTATGCATGTATAGTATACATTATTTCAAGATTGGAATCTTACAGCACTTACCATTTCATAGTTTATGTTTTCACTAAAATTATCTGTAGCTATTATTTAGTTTCTTTTTCATTCTTAAAAAAAATTCCTGAATACTACATATATAAACAAAAGTGCTTAAAATATAAGTTTAAGAAGTAACTGTAAAGGGAAACTGTTTAACAAAAACTTGCATTAGCACTCCAGAAACCCCAATTAATCCCACCCACAGAGAAAAAAACTAATCCTTATCCTGACTTTAAGGTGGTAATTTGTTGTTTTATTTACCATACATTGACACATCCCTAAAAAATATAGTTTAGTTTTGACATTTAACTTTGTAGAAATGAAATTGTGCTGTGTAATGTTGTTTTGAGTCTTGATTTTCTTACATAATACTATATTTCTTTAGGATCACTCTTGTGAATTGTTTAATAAAATTACCTACAGCTTGGTTAGTGAGTGGATGAGACAAGTTTTTGGCTCCTTTGAAAGAACTGCTCTGAACATATATTTATAAGTATCTTGGTGCACACATGGATGCTTTCCTAGGGCATAAACATATCAATGGAATTGCCAGGATTTACAATATGTGTGCATCTTTAAATTTCCTAGATATTGCCAAATTATTTTTTAAAATGCTTGTATGAGTTAAATTCCTACAGCAGTTTGTAAACATAGTCATCCTGTATTCTCTCCAATACTTGGTTACTTGGTATTTTATTTTGATGAGTCTGCAGATATATGGTATATATATATTATATATA